GTAAAACATAGTTGCCTAAGTGCTTAGATAAATTCCTCAAATATGAATTAAAAAGAGAGATTATAGATCTTAGCTGTACATCTGTAAACGTTGAGGATAATGTTATGGGGTGTAATTTTGAAAGAGTTCTTTGATACCACTGTCGGAGTACTGAATGCTCTATTGATTTGACGCGATATGGCATTTTTTAAAACTTTTCTTTTCAAAATCCTAGGGGGAGGAAGGAACATGGAAATGTCACTTATTTTCTTGAGATTAGGTAGAAATATTCCAGATAGATGAGACCTCCAGAGACTGGTTCATAGCATCTGTCAGTTTCTAGTTGTCACGTTTAATATCTCTGATTATCGGGAAGCCTTTTCTGTTTCACCCAGCGAAACCTGCATTTAATCCACAAATTAATCTTCTCTGTAGCTTAAAAACAAAAAACTTTGAAAACAAAAATTTTACCTTTATTCAACAAGCATAATTATGTTCACCAGTTCTTAGAGAGAAAGCAGAATCCTAACCTAAAACCATTCATCGGACCTCAGCAGTCAGATGGACTATTTCCAGGTCTTTGAATATGAAAAATATTAAAAAGTTCTCCTTGTGAGCTTGGGTTTTCAAAGAGGATCCCTTTGGAAAGTTGGCAAATACTTACTTTCCTGGCACCAGGATTGGTTTTTTTCTTTTCCCCTCCACCCAAAGCTATGACAGGGTGGAGTATACTTCCATGAAATTGCATGTTTCCAAAATAGAATTCACTGTTGTATTTTACTGCTGTTAGAATCAAATCTCTAATCAAAAATAAGTAAAAACCAAACATTCTAGAAATAGAATTTCAGCTCATGTTCTCTAATTTAGTTTTATATAAGATAGAATTATTATATTTTATAAAGGTGCCTTTTGAGCAAAAATGTAGCAAGCAGAGGCCAACCCAGTGCCGTAGTGGTTAAGTTTGCACATGCTGCTTTGGTGGCCCGGGGTTCGCCGGTTTGGATCCTGGGCACGGACCTACTCACTGCTTATTAAGCCATGCTGAGGCAGCATCCCTCATAGAGGAACTAGAAGAACCTACAACTAGGATATGCAACTATGTACTGGGGCTTTGGGGAGAAAAAAAGAAAAAGAAGAAGATTGGCAACAGATGTTAGCTCAGGGCCAATCTTCCTCAAAAAAAAAAAAAAGTAGCAAGCAAACAATTTCCAAAGTGGTCCACATTTCATTCTCGTTTCTGCTGTCTCGTGTAGTAATATCCACAATCTCATGTATTAACGCTCCCCAGAGTCTCTCGTAGTCTGTATGGCTTCCAGGAAAGAGCACTGCATTCTTCAGTTCTTGGTTTTATATCCCAGTACAAGCCGGTATCCAACCTAAATGACTAGGAACAATCCTGGTGTTCCTTGCTAGTGGATTGGGGATTCATTGTTGCTTAGGATGGGATGGATCTGTAGTAGAACTTGCTTGTACATTATAGAAGTGATAGTTGTAGATGGAAGTTGGGATCAGCAGGGTAAGAAAACTAGAACTATCATTTCCTGGATCCTGTGGATTAATTAGGTGGTGGTCTATTCCTAAAGATATCAGCCGATCATTTTCACCTCCAACATGACATATAAAAAGACTAGCTATGGCAGATAATACCGGGATAACACCTTATAAAATGTTTTACTTGTCAGTTCTTAAAAATTGAATCCTCAATAGTGTGCTAGCGAGAGGAACGTGACAGCAGTGGTCTAAGAGATGATGAGCATCCTGTAAGGCAGAGATCGTCTCAGACCTCTCTAGAGTGTCCCTTGGCATCCAGCTGACTCATACATGGAGGAAGTGCTTAATGAGTATGTGTTAATATCCATGTGCCTCCTGGGCTTGTAGAGCAGCAAATGAATCAAAACTGCTCAAGATGGGAAGGAGTGAATGGCATGTAGAAGAGATTCAAACATTGCATGATTAGGAGGAGTAGGTGAACTTCACCATCCTCTTTCCTACCTTGAAATTGTGTATTCTGGTTTTTTGTTTGATTGTTTTGAGAATCCCGTTGTACCTTTCTTCAGTAAACTCTAAGATTCCTTTCTATCCTGAGAGTCTGTTTTAAGTTCTTTGGTAGTTTTGTTTATTTGTTTTTGATATCCTTTAACTTTTCTGAAGAAGGGCGCAGTGGGATTTTCTGGCAATAACATCAAGTTAACACTTTTCCTCATCGCTCTTTTATTCTTATTTCCCCAGTTTTGAAAGTCTGGTCTTCAGATTCTAAGTGGCTCCTCCTCTTCAAAGACCTGTCTGCTTTCATGATGAACCTTGGTGCTTACAAGATCTTTTGATGACCTAGGACCCCTTCCTTGCATAGGTTTGCACAGAAAGGTGTTCTCCTATCTAAGAACCGGCGAGGGTGTAAACATAAAAGATCTTTCATAAAAGGCTCACAGGCAATTCCTGAGGTCTCTTGAAGGGAAGGTTACCTCATATAGTTGAGTGGATGTTTTACTGTTTACTAGAGAACTGGCCCAGAAGTACAAAACAGGTGCGAGAGGAAAACCAAGAACCAGCTGGGGAACAATGAAAAGCATGGCAGGAACAATCTTGAAGGAAGGGTGAAGAACACAGACAGGAAACCTGTTGTGCTGCATGGTATGAGAAGAAAGCATCCGAAGCCCATATTTTTCTCCTGGTTCAAGTTTTACTGAGCTTCCTCCCAGGAGATGAACAAATAGTGTGCATCATTAGATTACGTTTTTAGACATAAATCTGTTACTTAAGTAAGGCTATAAAACCCTGAGATTTGCTTATGATTGACAGGGAGCACGCTCCTTGAAGCGAAGGTGTGAAGGTAAAGCATTTTTGTTGGAGCTCTTGGTTTGCAGAGTGAAACTGTGGAACCTGAGATCCTTGACACATGCCATATGTAGACTGGCTCTCTTTTCCTCCTTTGAATGGGAGACAGGCAGGCAAACAGCAGGGACTTGGATGGTGGAGTGCATGGGACTACCCTTTTGTAATGTTCACTTACTTGAGTGAAACATTTGAAAGCACGCCCGAGCTTGAGTGAAACATTCAAAAGCACGCCGGAGCTCAGGGGCTTAACTTTAGTGAACAGGGGAAAAAACGAACCCAGAAGACAACATGGCATATTTAACTGTAGCAACTCAAATTTCTTTAGTCTTCGATATTTTGATTTAGTCTTGTGATGTTACTTTAAATTCATATACAATTATAGCTTCAAAGTATTTTCATTTACTCTGATTCTCTCCTATGAAGAATGAAGAGCCAGGTCATGACTTCCCCTTTTCCTTCCATGGTACATTGTTGCCAGAAACTCTTCAGACACGCACACACGCGCACACACGCACACACACGCGCACGCGCGCACACACACACACATATGCGGTGCCTTCAATTTCACAGGGTTTTTAAAAGTATCCTACCTAGTATTTCTTCCTTGTTTGTGCACATTCAGAAACAGCAGAACTGCCACTTCATTACCAGCAAAAGACTTTTAACCACAAGTTCTTACATGTAACCTCTTACCTATTTGTTGGGATTTAGAATCCATGATACCTCTGACCAGCTAAGGACCTAATGACTAGGTGAAGGCAGAGTAGTGTCCACTGATCTCAGAGTGGTAAATGGACACGAAGGTTTTCTAACATATCAGGGACTTGTCTCTGAAAATCAATAAAGACACTTGTTATATACATTAATTGATTTAGTCAAATGATATGAACAGGAAGTAAAATTACTGATTCAGTAGTGGACCCTATAAAAGGATTATGAATATTTTAGGTGACAGATAGGATGGGAGTAGGAAAAATAGGTTCTTTTTCTATCGTATTTAAGTTTGACTCAAAAGAATTTTTAAGTAACTGCAAGTGTTGGTCCTTCTGATTTGAGTATAGGTTTTTCCCACAAAAGAGAAAATGGTTGTCTTTACTCTGTCCAGTAGACCCAACAGGAGGAAAGAAGTAGAGACTATACCGTAGTGGGTGGAGAGCCTGATTCCTTCCCTCAAACAGGCATTGGATCGCTGTGTAATGATATCTGTGATGTCAAGCTAGAGCCAGTGATAATTAGCTCTGAACGCTGATTGCCTCTCTCCAAAGAGTTGGGCTTTGGCTCACTCCTGAGTTCCTTGATTGACATGTCAGAGTTTAGAAAAAGTAGAGAGTTATGGTTACTAGGAGAGAAAAGGTTGTTAGTGTTTGCCAGGAATTAATGCTGCGAAGGTCTGACTGTTGTAGAGGTGATGGTGTTTTAAGACTATGGTCAAAGAAGTGGAGTCCTGGGAAGTGAAGGTTTGGTGTGAGGAGATTTCTAAATGTTTAGGTAATTCTAGGAGTGCAGTTTGATTGGCAAGGAAACAGTACACTGTATTAGCTTCTGAGAACAGTGGTCTAGTCTGAGGTTCGATGCTGTATGTGGGCACATTCTGTCCGTCTGCACTTTGCTGGTTTGGGAGTGTACTGGGGGTTGGAAGGCTCAGTATTGCGTTCAATTAGAATTTTATGAGTCACAGACATGTAGGGTGAACCTTGCTCTGAAAAGCTTTATCCTATCCATTAGCAGGATTCCAGATTCTGTGGCCCTTTTGTCATCTACCCTACCAAACATCTGAGTTTAAAAAATGATGTGTTTCCAGAATTTTTTCAGGAATGCACACTGTTGAATGTAGCTTTGGCAGCTGTGTTGTTGTGGGTCTCCAGGTGTGGAGGAGCATTTTCGTTCTTGGTCTCTGTTAAGAAGAACTGGTCCTTATCAGTGGTTCATCCTGCTGGCCCACAGTGAAATGGTTTGATGAAAATGCTCTCAAACTCAGAATGAATGGGATGTGGCACCTGCCACATCAAACAAAGATAAACACAGGCAGAGGTCACTTTCCATCTTTTATAGAGCTGACCTTTATCAAAATCACCTGTGTATCCTGCTGTGTACACAGGGTTTTACATCTAGAGGCATCAGCGTTGTGGGAATATATTCCAAGTATGTGCTTTTAAGGTTGTTTGTTTCCCTTTTCTCCTGAACAGATATCAGTATTACCTGCAAGTCAAAAAAGACGTGCTTGAAGGGCGGTTGCGGTGTACGTTGGAACAGGTGATTCGGCTAGCCGGCTTAGCTGTGCAAGGTAAGAGAGAGTGATGACCGGCGTGTGAAATTCCACTTCCTGTTTGGTTATGGTGTTGCTGACTTCTCAGAGGGAAAAGTTAGATTTACTTGAATGATCCCTTAGTAATGCTCACTTTTCATTTCAAGATATCTTATGTTAAAAATGCAGTGAGTGGGGGCCGGCCTGTTGGCGCAAGCAGTTAAGTGTGCGTGCTCCGCTGCGGCGGCCCGAGGTTC